TATATATATATATATATATATATATATATATTACTCATTTTATTATAATAATAATTATTTAAATCATAATTATTTTGTTTCTTTCATAAATGAATAGGCTCATGAACCTACTCAAACTCATTGAATAAAGTCTAAACTCCCCGATATTATTTATGTAGAAACTTTTTAAAAGATTTGCATAAAGTCAAATCCCAATAGGCTCCGATTATACATTTAGTTGATTCTTGACCTGAATCGACTAAGTACTCCTTAGGTATTACGAGAGCTTGAACTCAATTAGTTAATCAAGCTCAAGTCAAGGATAATTGACTCCAAGGATGATGGACTCGTTTATGAGAGATTATTACGTGTGGGATTTGGAATAAAGAATTATCCAATTTTTTGAGTGTGAGCATTAAAAGCACAGTTGATGCAAGTGGATCGACGATTGGAACAGCTGCCGGAGAGACCAACTGGAACCTGAAAAGAGCGTTAGCAAAAACAAAGAAACAGAGAAGGAAAAACCAGGGGAATAGAGAAGGAGAAGGGGCAGTGTCTGTAGTATTGATTTCTGTTGTAAAAAGCTGAGTACAATTCCTGTTGCCATGGTATATGTATTCTCAAGGTGCTGTATAAAAAAGGTATAACATCAAAAAAGGTGTATTAGTACTCTATTGCAGGAAATAGAAAGTAAGTAGTGGAAAATAACTAAAGGTTGTTAGGAAGGTAAGTTGCCCCTGGTAGAATTCTCCTACTAACGTGAGCCGCATCAGTCCTCCCCCGGATCAGAAGAGCTCGACTCCGACGAGCTGACGGTGATGACCCCATCATCTGGTGGAGAGTAGGGCCAAATATCCGAAACATTGAATGTTGGAGAAGTCATGCAATCAGGTGGTAAAGTGACAGTGTAGGCATTGTCATTTATCTTAGCTATGATTGGCACGGGTCCGATTTTGCGGCGAGCGAGTTTAGAGTATGTGCCCGGGGCGAAGCGCTCACGGCGGAGACGCACCCAAACCAAGTCGCCTACAGAGAATAGGCGTTGTCGACGATGCTTGTCTACAGCTTCTTTGTATTTGGCATTGGAAGTGATAATTTGTTGACGCACATCGGAGAGCATTTGGGAGTAATCGTCGGCAAAGGAAGTTGCCGTGGCCGATTTGCACTTGGGGATAATTGCAACATCAAGTGCGATGTTAGGGGATTTTGTGTAAACAATGCTAAACGGAGTTTTACCTGTAGTTCGATTCGTCATTGCGTTGTAAGCAAATTCGGCTTTGCTTAAAAGGTCCTCCCATTGCCGCGGATGGTCTTGGACCAAGCACCGTAGTATAGCACCCAGCGTGCGATTAACTACCTCCGTTTGGCCATCCGATTGTGGATGGTATGCCGAGCTGAGGCGGATGTCGGTTCCCAATCTTTTCCAAAGTTCCCTCCAAAAGTGGCTGATAAATTTGACGTCGCGGTCGGACGTCAAACTACGTGGGACGCCGTGGAGTCTAACAATTTCGGTGAAGAATAAGTGAGCAATGTTCATGGCACTGGACGTTTTTTTGCAGGAAACGAAGTGTGCCATCTTCGAAAATCTGTCAACGACGACCATTATGGAATCGTTTCCTTTCTTTGTTCGCGGCAAGCCGAGTACAAAGTCCAAACTTAAGTCTTCCCAAATAGAGTCCGGAACCGGGAGAGGCATGTATAACCCCGTGTTTTGAGATCCTCCCTTGTACATTTGACATACGGGGCAGCTATCGACAAAACGAATGACATCACGTCTCAAACGTGGCCAAAAAAAAACGAACCTGTAACTGCCGGAGGGTATTATCACGTCCTGCGTGAGCTGCGAGTGCCCCACTGTGTGCTTCACGGATCAGCTGCAGCCGCCATGAGGATACTGGTATGCATAGTAAGTTCTTTTTGAACAAATAGCCATGGCGGATAGAGTAGTCTTCGGGCGGTTGCGCTAATTGACATTGTTTCCAAATGTTACAAAATTCTGGATCATCCGCGTATAGGTCTCGTAGACAGTCAAAACCGGTAATTTGTGTTTGCAATTGGATCAATAAGCTTCTCTTCCGGCTCAAAGCATCGGCCACCCGGTTATTAACGCCAGGTTTGTGTCTAATTGTAAAAGAAAAACGCTGTAAGAACATTATCCAACGCGCATGCATCCTATTAATGTTCTTTTGGCTGTTAATGTACGAGAGAGCCTTGTTGTCACTGCAGAGTATGAAATCTTGATGAAGTAGATATTGCTCCCATTGTTTGAGTGCTCTCACAATGGCATAAAGTTCCTGTTCATAAGCAGCCCACTTCTGTCTTGAGGCGGACAATTTCTCACTAAAAAACGCAACGGGCTTGTCGGACTGAGAAAGAACGGCGCCAACACCAATAGCGGAGGCATCTGTATCAACTGTAAACGGCTTGTCAAAGTCGGGGAGTGCGAGGACTGGAGCCGAACTGATGGCAGCTTTAACCTGCTCAAATGCTTGCTGTTGAGGCTCGGCCCAATCAAACGTCTTGGACTTGAGGGAGTCCGTAATGGGTGCCATTATAAGACTAAAGTCTTTGATAAACTTTCGGTAAAAGTTGGCTAAGCCGTGGAAGCTCCTGATTTCTGTAAAGGTTCGTGGTGTTGGCCAATCAATAATGGCTTCAATCTTTTTTGGGTCCATGCATACCCCATCTGCCGATACAATGAAGCCTAAGAAGTAAACTTGGGAAACACCCAGCTCACACTTGGGTAGGTTGATGAACAACCGTTGCTGTTTCAGCACATCAAACAAAGCTACCAAGTGGGTCAAATGATCTTGCCAATTTGTGCTATAAACTAGTATATCATCGAAATATACTATGCAGAATTTCCCCATAAATGGCTTTAGAAGCTCATTCATCATTCTCATGAAGGTAGACGGCGCATTGCACAGCCCGAAGGGCATGACTTTCCATTCGAAGAGTCCCTGCGGCGTCTTGAATGCCGTTTTCCATTCGTCACCGGGACGAATGCGGATTTGGTGGTAGCCGCTCCGAAGGTCCAATTTAGAGAAAATGGACGATCCCGATAGCTGATCTAATAGTTCGTCAATGCGAGGCACCGGAAACCTGTACTTGACCGTGATCTTATTAATTGCTCGACTGTCAACGCACATCCGCCAGCTTCCATCCTTCTTCGGAACGAGTAGAGCCGGGACGGCACAAGGACTCATACTCGGCTGGATAGACTGTTTTTCGAGCAGGTCATCAATCAATCCTTGCAGTATTTGTTGCTCCTTGGGGTTCAGACGGTAATGTGGCAAGTTCGGTAAGCTGGCGCCCAAAGTCAAGTCTATACAGTGTTGTATATCCCGTAATGGAGGCAATTCAGCTGGTAGTTCATCCGGTGTGAGTTCACGGTATTGCTGCAGCAATTGGTTGATATCATTGTTGGGACATTGCTGTTGTGGAGCGGCATTGGACTCGGCCAGTAAGAGGGCGAACATGGGTGAATGTTCTTGCCAGCAGCGGACCAAATTGCGACCCGTGACTAGATGCATAGCTGCTTGTTTAGGAGGTTGAACTTTGACGTGAGCATCACAATGGGGAAGCAGACGGAGCCGTCGTCCCTTCCACTCCAACGTGTAAACATTGGCTCGGCAGTCGTAAATGGCACCCGCATCGAACTGCCAAGGTCTCCCCAAAATAATGTGACAGACGTCCATATCCAGGACATCGCAAACTATTTCACAGACATATTGCTTTCCAATGGAGAAGGTCACTCTGCAGGATTCTGTGACTGCAATGTCAATGCCCCTTTTAACCCAAGTTATTTTGTAAGGACTTGCACTTTTGGTTGTCTTCAGCTGTAGACTTTGAACGACCGACCGCGATATGATGTTCTCAGTACACCCACTGTCAATTAGCAGGTCGCAAACTTTACCGTTAACGGTGCATCTTGTTCGGAAAAGAGCATGACGTTGAGACGGCGAGCTCTGTCGGGGTGCCAATAAAAGTTTTTCCAAAATGCATATCAAGGGTTCGCCGTCATCAGCTTCCACATCCTCAATTTCTTGTTCTCCTGTGATTTCGGCCTCACATAATTCCCCTTCTTCGGAACCTTCCGCAAGGTGAGCTTGGGGTCGTTGGGGACATTCGTTCTACTTGTGCCCAATCTGAAAACACCGGAAGCATTTAAGTGTGGAGGGTTTAGCATAAGGATTCTCCTTACCTGCAGGTCGGGCTTTGAGTGGTAGTTTCGGATCACCTCCTGGATTGACAGTAGTTGTCGTTGGTGTGGGTAGTAGGGGCGGCTGGGGGCTGCGCACAGTTTGTGGGGAGAATTTACTAGATCCAGCCGCTGAATCTTGCCATTGCCGACGAGTGGAAGGTGTTTTAGATAGCCTGCTCTGTTGCATTTCCACCTTGAATGCGAAATTGATGGCTTGTGCCAACGACCAAACGGTATTAAGCTCTAGTTTGTCTTGGATGCTGTCTTTAAGACCACCAATGTATCGGGCGACCAACTGATTATTGGATTCATTTAAGTTGTTTCGGGCGCTCAGTCGGTTGAATTCCTCTGTGTACTCACTAACTGATCGACTACCCTGCACACAATGTTGATACCAAATGTACATGATTTGTTCAAAATCTGTCGGTAAGAATTGAGCTCGGAGCAACTGTTTCATCCGGTTCCAACTGCGAACCCGAGTCCGGCCTTCACGTAGACGGATTTGGCTGATCTGATCCCACCAAGCACTAGCACCACCACGTAAACGACATGCTACGTATTTCACCTGTCGATCAGGTTCAATATCCATGTAATCGAAGAAGTTTTCGACTGCTTTCTCCCAGTCAAGATAGTCTTCAATGTGTAGGTGGCCATCAAAGTAGGGAACGTCTACTTTAATCTTAAATTCGCCCGGTCTCGAAGGCGGCATTGCTGGACGACGGTATTGACGATTTTCAGGCGGGATGCGGAGAGTACCATCTTCTTCATCTGATTCTACAAAATCCATTACCGGATTCATTATTGTCTCTTCCTCTGAATCTGACATTTCCTGGTGAAATGTAGGCATTGTCCTGGGTTGCCTTCCTGGATTGATACCCCTCCGCGGCATAGTGTGCGGGGCCGGAAAGTCATTCCGGTGTGGGGGATGCAGCTGCGGTCTCGCCCGATTGAGATTGAACTCGCGGCGAATCTCAATATGCAATCTCTGGACATCAGCGGACAATGTCTCCAGCTGATTCCGGAGAGTGTTTTGGTTTGCCCAAACACTTTCTAAGCTCACGACCACGTCGGAGGTTGGTTCCTTGCCGCGCTCCGTCATGCCTACCTTCCAATCGCTTGGCTCTGATACCAAATAAGCTGATGCAAGTGGATCGACGATTGGAACAGCTGCCGGAGAGACCAACTGGAACCTGAAAAGAGCGTTAGCAAAAACAAAGAAACAGAGAAGGAAAAACCAGGGGAATAGAGAAGGAGAAGTGGCAGTGTCTGTAGTATTGATTTCTGTTGTAAAAAGCTGAGTACAATTCCTGTTGCCATGGTATATGTATTCTCAAGGTGCTGTATAAAAAAGGTATAACAACAAAAAAGATGTATTAGTACTCTATTGCAGGAAATAGAAAGTAAGTAGTGGAAAATAGCTAAAGGTTGTTAGGAAGGTAAGTTGCCCCTGGTAAAATTCTCCTACTAACGTGAGCCGCATCAGCAGTTATGGTATAATAATGTATTTTTACTACGCACACTCACAAAAATCATAAATAGCTTCAGTCCAGATTCCGCTAGTAATAATCTCTCCTTCTTTATTGTACCATGCTTTTGTATGACATACTTTCACATTTTATAACTTCCTTCGTTTAATATATATATTATTTTACACACCGGAGCTTCATTCCTACATCTAGCCAAACACAGAAAATTATTACGTCCGGTGTTAGATTCGTCCGGATATCAATCCAGACGCGCCACGTCACCAAAATACATCGGAATCTAGTATATTCGGGTGACATGACGCAATTGTATTGAGTGTCACCGGACCTAATAATTTGCCCCCAAACACAAACCGCACCGAATATGTTTGGTGGAGATGCCAAGCGGTTCGATTACCGTCCACTAGGCTAGCCGGCGTTAGAGACGGCGGCCAGACAGCGATCTTCCTGCTTCCTGTTTTTTTTCTTCAGACATAAAGATCTCAGTTTTGGGGTTTCTAACATGCCCGAAGATCGAAGAAGTGTTGGGTTACAGCGGAAGGGGAAACGGAGCATCTCGGCAGCCTCGCCGGCGCAAACAACGGTGACCTCGCCGCCGGCGTGCTACAATTTGGCCAAAGATTGAATCTTTGACAGAGTTGTTTTCAGAGATCCCAACCTAAATCTGACCCAAAAACACCAAATCCTGTTCTGGCAAATATAGACTGATTATGTGAAATTCTACAAGACCAGATTCTTTACTTAGACTTATTTAATCCAAAGAATTTCGTCAACCTAATAATTTCATAAGATGAACAAAGCACAAACCATCACCACTACAAAATCAACCATTTCATCCACCAAACTATTTGGATAATCAGCATATCCATCCATTGTCAACGAAATTGACCAAATGCAAAGAAAATACTCCCCTGACAAAAAAAAAAACTGAATAAATTCAATTAACTGAAGCAATAATGCAAATAGTCCATGAGATATGGATACAACGCATCAAAAATAAACATAATGGATCATAATCAAAGCCTATCATTAGCATACAAGAAAACAAATTCATCATCTCTGTACAAACACCTCAAACAGCTTAAAGGAAGCTCATTTAAACAGGCCGCCGCAGCCCTCTGAAGTCTTTGCTGTCTATACATCCCAACCCCTTTTCATAACCGTTCAGAAACCTCAGCAACTCTGTTGCCCTCTCCTTAACCCCTTCTCTGCACTCCACCTGAAGCAACATCAATAACTTCATAAAAATCCCAACTTGGAGAGCTTCCACCACACACCCACCTTCTCTGCCTTCTTCTTTCTCCCCTTCCCAATTCTTACAGAGCTTCCACAGTGAAGATAAAGCCAGATCAGTTGCAAGATCAGAAAACCCAAAAATTTTCTTCACGAGCACAGGGACCGTAAGCGCATTCCCGTACGCCTTTTCCCTCCCCAATTCACAGCCGCAGAGCCTATCAAGCGCAGAAAGCGCCGCCTCGCCGACTCTCTTCTCCGATTCCGAGTCCACAAGAGACTCAAGAACCAAAGAAACAACCCCCATCCTCACAAACGTCGCTTCCATCCATTCTTCGGAACAGGAGGCCAGATGAAAAGCAGCCAATTGAGCGGCCTTTTTGCCTTTCGGAGAAATCGGATCAGTAATCAGCTTCAGCAATGTTTCGATGAGGCCGTCCATTCTCGCCGCCGCCCTCGCGAGGTCGCCGTCGAAGGAAACTATCTGTTTCAATACCAAAACAGCACTGAGCTTCCCGGACATATCCCCTGACTTGAGAATCGATACGATCGCATCGAGTGATTCCGGCGATCCGATTTCACAGAAAATCTCCTCATCGTCGATGCGGTAAACGAGGACCAGCGCCGAGAGGATCTCCGAGAGGATGTCTAAGGAGGCGGCGCAGCCGGCGGCGCAAGTCCGGAAGGCGGCGGCAAGAACGCAGGCGGCGCCGGAGTTCGCAAGACGTCGCCTGTTCCTGTCGCTCTCGGTTGCCAGAGCCCGAATCCTTGCCGCCGACTTCCGACACCGGACGGGGTCGCTGCGGTGGGTGTCGGAGGCAAGCTGGGAGAGGATCGAGGATACTTCGGCTGCGCTGAGGGGGGGAGATCGAGGTGATGTAGAGTTCGCCGCGACGGCGGCCCGATCGCCGGCGGCGCTCTCGAGTGTTGGAGACATGGCGAGGCCTGCAGTGGAGATGAGATACGAAAAGTTTGATCTTTTGAGTGAATGGGCTGAATCGCGAAGGGGAGATCGGTACATATAAAGGTGGAGACAAAAGATAGGCCAAGAAAACTTTCTTAACCTTTTCTCACTAAAAACGAGGGGATATGAGGACGCAAGAGGGATTCGATAAGGGTTCTTATTAAGAAGGGACTTTGATTGTAGTCCCATTTATTTCTTATACAGATAGAGTTTCTACCAACAAAATAGAGATGAGAAGGGCTTCGCTAGATCTCATTGTAAAAAGTGATGTAATATTTGATGTAGTGCTTTCATTATCTCATTTTTTTTTTTTATTCGACCATATTTTAAAGCTGGGTCATATGTTCCTGAGTCTATAACTTTTGCAGTCCATCCAACCCTCACCAAAACCTTCCAATCATAGTCAATTTCAATTCCGACAACCTCTCCCTCACCATTGGCAATGGAACTGTCATAAGAAGGCACTTTTTTATGCTATTCAAGTATTTTACTCTCATTTTTGTTCAATTGAGATGTTTATATCTTACCTATGTAAAATCTATAATTTTTAGTATCATCGTTGTGTCCTGAAAAAATTCACAATGATAGAGAAATATAAAGTTTAGCGTCCTAGGTTTATACGAAGATTCAGCACACAAACAAATAAATAAGTAGGGATGCAATGTTCATAATAGACGCCAGATTTTTATGTGGAAACCCCTAAAAAGTGGGGAAAACCACGGGGCCTTGCCCAGTCAAAATGAATCCAATAATATTTGCAGTTCATTACATATGAGGCCCTTTGTTGAGGGAATGTCTTGGTTCGATGTAGCCAATATACATTATATAGAGTGCATTATATGGTGGGAGTTGGAATAATCGGTGTTGACATATTTTATTTGGTCGTCAAGACCATAGTCGACGAGCGATTTAGGTTAGAAAGATTGCAATCGGGTGATGATGGTCTGAATGACCGTAGTCAGGCAACGGCAATCGTGGATATCATAATTTGGAGATGTTGGTTGGAGAGACCATTGTAGAAGAACAACGGAGTTCGGAAAGATCATAGTCAGGTGACACTGGTCGGAAAGACCGTAATATGGAGATGTTGGTTAGAGAGACCATAGTTAATTGGCGATAGAGGACGAAAAAATTGTAGTCAAGCAATTATGGCCGAGGAGACTATAATATGGAAATATTGGTTGGAGAGACCGTAGTCGGCGCGAGATAGAGGTAGGAGTTGGCGACGTTGGTTTGAAGGACCATAGTCTGGAGATGTTGGTCAAAGAGATCTTAGTCGTTAGATGTCGGAGGTCAGAAAGATCGTAGTTGGGCGATGGTGGTTGGAAGGACTATAGTCGAAGGATGACATAGGTTGGAAAGATCGTAGTCTAGTAATAATGGTTGGAAATATCATAGTCGGTGACGGTGGTTGAAAAGATCGTAATATAGAGATGTTTATTGGAGGGAATGTAGACGGTAGGCGACGGAGGACAGAAGCGACGCTGGTTAAAAGGACTACAGTCTAGAGATGTTGGTCGGAGATACCATAGTTAGCAAGCGACGGAGGTCGGAAAGACCGTAGTTAGGTAATAATGGTCGAAAGGAGTGTATTAGGTGGAAACGAAGGTTAGAAAGATCGTAATCTTGAGATGTTGGTTGGAGAGATCGTAGTCGAATGATGACGAAGATTAGAAAGATCATAGTCGGGCGACGCTAGTTGGAAGGATCGTAGTCTGGAGATGTTGGTTGGAGAGATTATAGTCGATGAGCGACGGATGTCAAAATGATCATACTAGGGTGACAGTGGTCGAAAGGATCGCAGTTGGAGGACAACGGAGGTTGTAAAGATCTTAGTTAGGTGACGGTGGTCGGAAAGATCATAGTCGAGTAATGATGCTCTGAAAGATTGTAGTCGGGTGACCGCAGTCGAAAGATCCTTAGTAAGGTGACGGTGGTCAGAATGATTGTAGTTTACAGGAAACTATATTTGGGAGGAGATCATACATTGATAGCATATGGGAAGTTTTTTTATGATAGTCGAAGAACGGACGAAAGTCCGGTGACTGTTGGTTGAAGGGAATAAATTCGGAGATAGTAGACAAAAGGGTAGAAATACGAAAGTCCAGTAACGACAAGTGGCGGCGAAGTGATCTAATGGTGGACAACGAATGGGCAGAATTCTAGTGATGGTCAGGAAGAGTCCATCAACTGTCGACAATTGGGAGGAAGTTTGGTGATGATCGTTGATCGAGAAAAGATCTGGTGGTGGTCGACAGTAAGAGAACTCCCCAAGTTCTCTCCTTATTCTCTTCCTCTCTTCCTCCTTCATATAAAGAATGAGATGATATTTATAGTTTTTTGTAAGTGGCTTGACTAATAAATATGGAGAAGATCAATGAAATGTTGGGAGAGTTTAATTGGATGGCCCATATTAATTCACTTGATCATGGAGAGTTTGTCGAGCATTTAAGTGCCTTAATGATGCCAGAATTGAGCAATCTTGGACTCGTTGGACTCGTCTCATCGAGCCACTCGATTCGACTATAAGCATGTTATATTCATATGTCATTTGGTAGTCCAATTAATGCTATGAAGCTTCCAAATATACTTTGAACCTTTGATTTGGACTCATTTCGGCTAGGATTGGATTAAATTTGATGTCGTTGGGTTCGTCTCCTTGAGATGTTCAATTTGAATATAAGCTTGCCGAAATTAAATTTCATATGATCCTGATTTTAATTATGAAAGTTTCCAATTAATATTTGCATCAAAATTCGTGCCCGATCAAGACAATTTTTTTGACATATCAATCATGTATACAATTCCCCTTTCATTTTACGTTGATGAACAATTACTTAAAACTTATCATCACTATTTTTAATAAAAACATTCTTATTTAGTTCTTATCCTTAGTTTTAGAAAGATTTAGATCAAAATATTCAAATTATATAAATTTTAAAGATTAATTTAAATTTATTAAATTTAATCTAATTTAAATTGATTATATACATACCACATATCTTAAAACAAATTTATTAACTTTTTTTATTTATTTTGATTAATTTTTATTAAAAACTTATGATATTATATTTATTTGCATTTAATAGTATTTATACCCAATTGTCAATGCTCTTTTTTTCCTTAAAAACGAGTACTTCTAAAAAGAAAGAGGAAGAGAATTGCTAGCCGGCTTTACGTGGATGCTGCTTCTAGAATCATCCATTTGCTATTGTGCTGTGAGGCTCTGAGGGTAGTAATGGAATTCTCTTTTCTTAAATAATTTGGTCCCTTTTAAATTGCATGGAATATATGCTTTTATTTAATGAATTTATGATGAAAATTTAGGGGCTTAATAAAAAAATATTAAAAATAGTATAATGTACAACAAATAAATCACAATGTGGATCTTTGTCTACAGTATGATGTCAATCTTAGGACGAGTTTTTTCAACGAGTCTTAATTAGTCAGTGTACATGATAAGTCCTTGAGTCTCGATATAGAGGCGAATTAATTTTGAAGTGATGGTGAGTCCATTTTAGGCGAGATTCTAATCTTTGAAAGAAAACGGGCGATATCTTATGGCGAAGAGAGAGGTTGAGTGTCAAGAAATGTTCGAGCGTAAGCGATCATAATTGTAACTTTTGATGTGTATGGGTTTTCGGTAGTTGGTGTGGTGATGCCGGTGTTTGCTGAGTGACTTTGGTAGTCGAGAATGTCCATAAATGAACGGCTCCTACTGGGATAAGTGGCATATGTAGCTCGAGTTAACTCAGATGAGTCTTCTTGAGAGATTTACTATGTATGATGACTCCTTAGTGCGACCTATTTAGGTAAGTCTCTTTGTGGTGGCCGTGTTGGGAAGCAGACATACTTCTATGGGATAGTGAAGATCAGCTTATTAGTTGACTTTCTTCTCATGGCAAGTGCTTCTCTTAAAAGATGTGGCCATTCCAGCTGAGTCGCCTTTAATCGCCTGCTAGATGCCCGTGAGTATTTAGGAGTATACACAAAATATATAATTTAAGAAAGTAATATTTTTTTTCACTTAATTTAACTTATTTAAATGTGATTTATTTGTAATGTTTTATATGTCTTGAAGTTATTCTAATAAATTCTATAAATAGGATCAAAGCAAACGGTTTAATCGATCATAAAGCTAATTTAGGCTTCATTTTGGACAATTTTATACAACTATTTTTTCCTGCTTTCAAGAATTTTTTTATTTAAATAGCTTCATAAAACAGTAAGAAAGTCATCTCAAAAGAAGTCTTAAATTTCGTTTGGGATGACCTTCTTACATCTTCTTAAAGCATCTTTATTGTATAAATATTTTAATTTTTTACTATAAAATTAATTTAAGAAAGAGTAATAAAGTTTTCCAAACGATCCACTAAAAATAATATTTAAAAAAAATAGATAAAATAATTCGAGTAAAAATAATAAAATATGATGATCAGAAGGTAATATTCTTTAGAAAGAATATACTCATTTAAAAAAAAAATTATTAATTATAATATCTAAAAATATACGCACATGAAAATTATTGCCAATTGACTAATAAAACCTGACTTCAAAATTTGGCAACGTGACACGTGTCACAAATGCAGTGTCCGAAACGAGGAGTTTTTTTTTGGGAAATTCGCGACCAAATATAATTTCTTAGCTGTCTCCGTTATTTTCTATATTAAATTAATAATAACTATATTCAAAAGTATAATTTATTTTATACTTTATTTATATGCAAAAATAAAATAATATTTGCAGAATGTGAAAGTCTCCTTTTCACACCTATTTGGCAACTTCGTATAAATTTCGATAGAAAATTTAATAAAAGTGACATTCATATTAATATTTTATCTCTTGATTATTTTTATATGATCAATTTAAGATTCTCTGATTTTAGAGTTTTTTTTCATATTATTTTTTTACAACAGCTTTTATTAGAAAAAATCATAGTCTGATTCTTAGACTTCATTTAGGACAACATTTTTATTGCATAATCATAAATTCATAATTTTTAGTTGGTCATTATTTTTCGCTGCTTTCAAAAGAAGTTTATATTACGAAGCTATTTTATACTAGGGGTGTCAATATTTAACACGACACG